ACATTTTTCTATGTATCCTTTTTTATACTATCACTTTACTTCCTTGACTTCATCTTTCATTTTTATGTTTTTCCTTTTTTTTTTCTTCAGTAACAGAGCATGAACCCGTACTGGGAACATGTTAGGCAAGCACATTAACAATGAGTCACACTTTAAGTTCTTCATCTGGTCAAATCTCTTGCAATCTCAGACCTTTACCTGCTTGTCAGGACTTTCCATCCAGCTCTTAGTGAAAATGTTGAAAAATTCCCCCTTGTTTTGTATTCTGTGTCTCAGATAATGATTTCACCTAATATTGAAGAAGAAACTTGAGAATCATTTCTTAGTATTCTGTGTCTCTTAGAAGTCCCATCTATGATGGTATCTTGGCATGTCAACTGGGCTAGGCTTCAGTTCCCAGTTATTCAAGTAAACAGTAATCTAGGTGTCACTGTGAAGGATATTTTATAGTTGTGGATACTATCATAATCAGTTGACTTACATAATGGATATTTTCATAGATATTAAAGGTGTATCTAATTCACTCAGTAGATAGACTTAAGAACAGAGCTAAGGCTTTCATAAAAAAAGAAATTCTGCTTGTAAGCACTATCTTCAACCTATATCAGAGACCTCCAGCCTGTCCTTTATGATACACTACTCTATGGATTTTAGAGTTGTGTAATCAAGTCTCACCAGTCAGTACACTGCAACAGTGTCTTAATGTGAGTCTTCTACTGGATCTCATTCCCTGTATGAATCTTGATTGAGACATCTAATCAATGATACTTCACAAATGTTTCTAAATCTACTTCTCTGTGCTCTATCCCAACTACCATTATTAGTGATAAGCTCAGGCATTTATCACTTTTAGGCAGGGTTTTCATACATCTTAAATGTTTTATTACCCCAATCTTCCACATGGCCACTAATACTATCTATGTAAAGTACAGATGTGAACACAATAGTCATCCTAACTTAGATGGCTTTTTTAAGACTCACGTGAGACACTTATCCACACAAAAAGCCATCGTCAGCATTTCAATGTAGTTGATATGGTCTCCTGTGCTTAAAACACTGCACCAAACTATATAACCTAATACAACTTAACAAATAAATTAATGAATTTATTCAGTGAATTAGGTACCTAAGTTTAAAACATTGGCATCTGAAAGTTAATAAATGTAAAATTTAATAAATGCTCCTTAATTATTTGCTGGTTGAAGAATGGATGAACTATATACTAAGTGTTGTCAATACCTAACTGCTAATAATGAGATCTGAGGAAAGTAGAAAAATGACTATCCAAATACATAAACACCATATCCAAGAATTTTTGAGTACTTTGCTTTATGAGGAAAAGGAACTTTACTGAGGTGATTAAATTAGGGTATTTGACATAGAGGAGATTTTTCTAGATTTAGGAGGTACACTCTATTTATGTGTATACTAAAAAAAAAGAAAGAAAAATCTCACCCTATCAGAGTCTAACAAGCAAGAAAATAGGAGTAATTCTGTGTGAGACAGATTGTGCCTTTCATTTTTTATTTTGAAAATCGTAAAAAGACACCACAAACCAAATAATGCAAATGAACCTGAGAAGCTGGAGGACAGTCCTCAGGTGACAGAAATTAAACAGAGATCACAGACCTTCTACTGAAAGAAACTGGATTCTTCCAACAACTGAATGAATAGATATTCTCCCCTATAACCTATAGAAAGGAATGCAGCTAGCCAAAACTTTGATTTTAGTCTGAAATGAGACTTAAACCAGACTTCTGACCTACAGCATTCTATAAGATAATAAGTGAATTAAGACTCTAAATTTGTGATAAACTTATTATCGCAGCAATAGAAAACCGATAGAGGATGCATGAAAGATAGCCTGGTATACGTCTCAAAAAGAGACAAAGATTACATGATATGATGTCAAGTGAAGAAGATTATTAAGCAAAGAACTTGATCATATTTGTGCCTTTTTAATTTTTAATTCCTCTTTTTTTATTAGTTTGAGATAAAGTCTTCCTAAATTGATCAGGCTAGTCTCAAACTTGTAAGTCCTCTCAGAGTATAGAGAATAATATAGAGAATACATGTGCGTGTCACCTGGCCTCTTAAAAATTGAGCAATCTAAAGTAACAAGATAATGTCCTTATGTAAGAAAAAGGAGGAAAAGTGGCCAACTCAGAAAAAAAGAGGTACTTATGGAGACTATGTACATAAAACTGTTTATAAAAAAAGCAGCACAATTTGTAATCGCCAGATCTTGGAAACAACCCAAGTGTCCATCAACTGAGGAATGGATAAAAAAGTTGTGGTATTTCTATACAATGGAATATTATTCAGCTATAAAGAAGGATCACATTGAGATATTTATCAATAAATGGGCGCAGCTTGAGACCATACTCATAAGTGAAATAAATCAATCTCGCATGTATGAATACCGAATAGTTTCCCTAATGTAAGTAATGATTCAAATATATGAAATGGCCTTGAACCCTTATAAAATTTTCACTTATTAATTAGAAAGGCTTTATTCCGGGCTTCTTGATATGGAAATATTTGAAGCTATAGTATATGAAGTTTTATCCAAATATCTCAAGGAAAAAGACAGACACTATGGTAACTATTATTCTTTAAAAAAATTATTTAGTTATTTCTTATGTTTATTTTAATTAAGGGAAAAATTTTAAAAATTAGGATATATAATAGTAACTCTTTTCGATTTCCTATTAACTTGTTTTGAAGTCCTGTAATGCTCCCACGATCTTGTTTTGACTGATTAGACTCTGTTCCATTCTGTGGGATAGTATCAGGTCCGAGGGTATAGGCAACTACTTTGAAGGCAGTAAGATTCACTAAGATGCCCATTCTGGTTTGACTATTGTCTCCTTTGGAAGTCCTGTAATGTTTACAATGTCTAAGTTTTATTGGTCTTGTTCTCTACTGTTTTGTCCAACTTTATAATATCTAATGAGATAGACAAATCTTTTTAAGGAAACAAGAGACAACGTTGATAACTATTGTTAATAACCGTATACTCTGTTCTACATCATGTGCTAAGTCTATCCTTGGCTTTCACTGACAGCTTTGTTCTGCCATATTTGACTTTATTCTCCCCCCCCAAAAAAGTAATAAGAACTAAGGAGTAATAAAATCTAAAATGTGTAAATTTTGTTGTAAAAAGAGAGGAAGGGGAAAAAAGAGCTCTAACGGATATAACAGCAAGTGTGTATAGGGATGTTGAATAGCTGACTATATTAATGTTTTTGGATCATTGAACACAGCTGTTTGTAGTCTCTCTGTTTGAATGTCTACTTTGTATTCTTTGATACTGTGATTTGAGCAACTATTTCCAAGATGATAATATGTAATCTATTAACAGGTGATTTCTTACTGTTATGCTTTTTTTTGTAGTTCTGTATTATATGTAACCTTACACTGCTTTGTTTTGTTTTGTGTTTTTCTCTTTTTCCTCTTAAATAAAAAAAAAAAAAAAAGCCTGTCTGTTTGTGAGACAGACAGAAAATCAGAAAGGCTAAATAAATACCAGAAGCAGGAAAAAATGATGGCACAATAAATAGGAAAACTTCATTTGATGAACTCCCTTTATTCTTAAGCACTTCTGAAACAGTTAACCTAAACAAGGAATATGACATCAATTATAAACTATAATTCCACCCATGTCTAAAAACCAGAGCTATGTGTTAAAGTGCAAGTGAAATGTACATGGCTAGCCATCCACAAACTCATCAAATAAAAGCCAATAACTTTGTCATAAACCAGCAGTCATTGTCTCCTAATGTGATTTAATACTAAGGGTAGTACATCACCTATGTAGTGTTCTTGCTGAAACTGCTTCAATTGATCATGAGGAAACAAACCACTCAGACAAGTTTATATTGTGAACAAATATTAGACTGCTCTTGCAATCATCAGAAATGTCAATATTATCTTTGACTTCAGTAACTTATTTACCGAAATATATTTCATTTCTGTTATGTACCAGCTACCATGCTTTGTTTATAAATCCCTACAACTCCCAGCACACTAATTTCTCATTTCATGGGCTCTGTAAAAGTTTATTTGATGAATGAAGAAAGAATAGCTTTCTCCTTGGAAGCACAAGGATCCACAACATTTGAATAAAATTTGGTTTTATTTTTTTGTATTCTATAAAGTTCATTTAAATTGTAGTGGGATAGTGGGAATTGGTTCCTGAAATAATAATAATATCTCGTGCATGGAAATCATCTTTGGCTTCCAGTTCACTGCATTAACATTCAAGGCCCTGCAGATATTCTATCTTCACCTGTTAGTTCTTCTGACAGTCACAAATACAGAAGACCACTCCCATAAAAAGTCTACTACAGGGCTTTTGTTGTGGAAAACATAGGTGTAAAAAGCATATCGTCCTCCTCCATTTGGCAGATGTCACTCACCTTTTAAAACCTACCCAATGTTCCCTCGTCCTTTTTAATGCTCATTATGTCACTTGAGTTTATCATATTATAACTTGTTTTAACTTATTAAAGGCTCTGGCCTTACCCAAAGGTACTTCTGAAGGCTTATTTTACAATCCCAGTGTTGGGTCTAAGTAATAGGGCTTCAATATTCTTCTTGTTTTTGAATTAAGCATTTTTAAATGGAACAATTTCAAATACATACGTAATTAGAGAGCAGCATAATAAATCTCCACGTATACATCACCTATCACTCATGAATACTCAACCTTGGCCTCACAGAATAACTTTCAGGTAAATAAAAATATTTGATACAATTTATTGAAAAATATAACATTTGTAGCATCTGAAACATTAAAATAAAATACTTAAGGCTCATAAATATCGGTCATTTCATTCAAACCTGTCCTGTGAAAAAGCTGTTTAATATTCATATGTTTTTTCTTCTATTTTGAAATTGTGGAGAGAACAGGGAAATGGGGAAAATGAGATCTAGAAAAATGTATAATTAAGTTTCAGAGAGCTTGGATTTCCTAATTGAGAAAGAAAGATTCTGACCTGATTTAGGGTAGAAAACCCTATGTATTTCATTACTTTTCCGGAGGAGGAGGGTGCGACTTCAGACCGGCTGATGCAGGAGGTGCAGAGAGGAGAGTGGTAGTACCCGCATTGGGAGTTCCTTCTGGATAATCCCACCGCGGAGCCAGGAGGCAGCGTTTTTTTGGTGGCTTGGCTTCCTGCCTGCTTCCCAGTGGAAGTGTGGATCTCCCGGATGCACAAGATTGGTCTTCCATAAGTATTACAGGACCTAGTCAGTTTTCTCTACTGACCCCAGAAATCCGAAAGACCTGAGATGGCGGCGGATCCCCTCCAGTCACAGAGCAAGCTTCCTCCGAGTTTCTCTCTTACCGTATTTCCTGTATCCTGAGACGTATATCCCCTCGCTGCCTCCACCCTCCACATACCCCACGCCCACCACAGCCCCTCATGCCCAGTCTCATTTTAACACTTCTAGCAGGATGAGACTTTTTAAAAAAATATGTGTATTTAATATAATGTTCTTCAGAGGGTCCTGACCACCAAGTGCGACTAAATTCATCTCAAGTATTATATGATTTTCTGCGAGAAATGTTTGGGAGGGTCAGATAGAGTAAGGTAACCAAAGAAATTAGTTGAGAGCATTATAACTTAGTTGCAGATACACTTCATGAAGCCATGAAATTAGCTACAATCACTTAAAAAGTGTTATAAAAACCTATTGACTAACTGCCTAGAATCCAAAATAGCCCTATTGACCACGGAAAATTGAGTGTATAAAATAAATTCACGAAGTCATAGAATACAAAATCAATTTTTTGCTTTTTTTTCCCCCCCAAGGATTGAACTCAGGACCTCTAATTTGCCAGGCAAGGACTTGACCCACTGAGCTAAATCCCTGGCCCCTGCATCACATTTTTAAAAAAAATTTTCATAATTGAAAGGTAATGCTAATTTTTCACATTTCAACATCTAGGCACTCTTTGAAATCTGCTAATTGAAAAAAAAACTACATAGTTTAATTAACAACTTTTTTTCATTTTTAGAGCTATGAACTCTAAGAATCTTACTGTTGCTGGTATTCTATGGAATATGGTAAGTAGCCAGAACAAAGTGCAATGTAACTTGGAACAAAAGGATTCTGCTCATATGGTCATTCCAGTGGCCTTAATATTTACATGCCTTTGGCTGTTAGGACGAACTAGACCACACCTTTTTAGCACTACCCTCAGTGTTTCTTAACATAGAGAGTTCAGCCCTTGGTACCAAAAGAGAACTGATTTTCAATATGTGGAGCTATGTGGTCTTTAAATAAGTGTTAAATTCCTAGAATTTTGGTTTCCAGAGCCTAATAATGTCTTCATTTTGAAAAATTAAAATAATTAAGTGTAACACACTTTAAAAACATCATAACAACCTCTCATCTCCTCCATCACCATCTTCCTCCAAGAACACAGCAAAACCTTTTACATAAATTAGATATTCCATGAATATTTGGGAAATAAATGACTTTATGGTTTTGTTCCAGATGATAATAAAGACTGAAAATTCAGGTATAGCAGTCGCTTAATGAAAAGGTGAAGAAATATTGAGAGAGAATACTGTTAGAACTAGAAAAACAGCTATAACTAGAAATTATGATGTGAAAGTCAGCAGCATATAGGTAATATCTCCCGTCATTAGCATGGGTGATATTTCCAAGAGAAAATGTAAAGATAAGTGAGCTAAAAACAGAATCTTGTGTAATGACCAAAGAGAAAGCTGTGGCAAAGTTTGCATTAAAAGGAGAATCACAAGTTTGATCCAGCCTGGAAAATCTAGAAAGATCCTGTATCAATGTAAAATGAGCTAGAGACAGCTCAGTACACAATCTTGAACTCATTTCCCAGTCTGGGGGAAAAAAAAGGTACCACGTGGATCTACATTGGCACTTTCCTACTTCTATAGGAGAAGACTTGAAAGGAAAGACTTGTGATGTTTTGGGAGCAGAGATTAACTCACTGCTATAATTAACTCACAAATAACCTTTGCATGGACTTTTGAAACACCAGAGGTTCTCTACTGGTGACCCTCAACTCTACTGAATTATAAAAAATGTTGGTGAGCCCCCATGGACCTATGACACAAAGGTGCATTCCCATAACTAGCAAATCAAGGAAGGAGGTATGTGCAGAGAACACTGATCCCATCAACAGCAAACAGTGAAACAAAAAGAAAATAAGTGGAGTAATAGGAGGGGAAGGAAGAAGAAAAGGAAGAGATAAAAGAGGAGGAAAAGGAGAACCAGGAATTTCAGGTCAGACAAGAGGAGGACAAAGAGAAGAATTGGCACACACCCTCATGTCACCAGGGATGTAGTTATGGATTTAGTATAGAGGTCCTTCATTGAGTGGTAGCCTACAGAAGAAATAAAAGGGCTACACAGGAGGGGAAAAGTGTCACCATGTACCTCCCACACTGGGAAAGGACACAACACTCTTTTGAATGGGGTGCCTCCTAAATGGGATAAAGTTTTCTAATCCACCTGTAAGAACTGCCAAAGACAAAGACAGGCCCTGAACCATGATCCTCGAAGTTCACTACAAACAACCACGGTGTTCCACTCTCACAAATACACACACACACACACACACACACACACACACACCTCCGTATATCCTATGTGCAAAAAATGTGAACACAAGGATGCAAGGTAGAAGTGAAATTGGCAGGAATGAGACTCAAAGTTGATGAAAATGACACAGATGATGTTTAAGGATAAGAGTTTAGCCATGGCTTCTCACCTGCCCAATTCACCATCATTTTAAATATCACAGACATAAGTTCATCCTCCCTACTGAAAATGCTGTATCTTCTGTTCCACTCCTGACCATTAAAAAACAAGAACTGGAAGAAAAGAAGTGGCAGTCAGGAAGTGAAAACAAGAAACAGGAAGTGAAACAGAAACAAACAGAAAATTAATTAATGCAGTGAAGCAGAAGCCAGCATCAAAAGCTGAAATGTTCCATGTCCCAAATGGACAGGTTGTATTCCAAGTGGCATTCTGTTCCCTAATCAGAACAGACACATCAGCCAATGCAAAGTTGTCAGCCATGGAGTCCAAGTTTTGAAACTTCATCATACAGAGAGACCTGTTGTGCCAGGATTGCTGCTACTTAGTCACCCTACCCCCAAACCCAGGACAAGAAAGTGGGAAGGCACTCAGGAATAGGTGGAGCAGGGGACAGATTTCGTAGGGTAAGTATGAAAATGGCAAGGTGAGCATCAAGTCACTGACCTACCCATGTGGGTAGCTTGTGTAGAAATGTGTATTTTTTCATGCAAAGATGTGTTATTCTCAGTATAAATGGGTATAGAGGAACCTGAGGACATGAGATTGCAAAAGTGAATTCTAGAAAGCATAAGAAGTGAGTGCAGCCAGAATTAAAGTGACTACTGTTTGAATTACCCTGTGTGCTATGGTAATCTGTGATAACAGGGAAGCCTAATTTGTCTTCCAGCTTGTAGTATCATTTTCCAAGGTTTCTAATGCACAGAAGTCAGAGTGTAGTTTCAAAGTAAAATAGATGTGCTTATTGCACTAACTCACTACTCCTTACTCCCACATACTACTTTAATGCTAAAGCCTCCTTTTTCTAGCCTACTGCATCTTCTTCCCAGTGGTAACATTAACCAGTGAACTTGCATTAACTGAGCATGACAGAACTTGGTCTCTCCTGTGGAGCAATGAAGCCTGCCTGTCTGTCTACTAATGGCTGTGCAACATCGCAAATTGCAAACCAGTGTATTTTTTAGTGAACAAACCAGTAGTTTTCCTTGAAAAAACTTCCCTGAAAACTCCATACCAGGAGTCTACCCACAATAGGACACATAAATGACTGCCCATGTTTCAGTGGGAGAAGTAGCTGTAGGCCTTAAGTACCCTTCCTGACCTCTGTGCCCTACTTCCTTCTGTTGGATATTTCAAACACTTCTGCAAACCTGTTACAACTGGGTTCTTTGACTCCTTCAGAGAAAAAGAGTTTCTTGTCCAGGCACAAGTGAAGCATCCACAAATCAGTGTCTGAGTGACCTATGGCTTTTTAGGGTAATGTGCAAGTTCCTCTCCTCTGCATACCCTTCAACTGAGTGAGAGAGCTTGCAATATCCTGGTGGTCTGTGTTCACAGAGACCTATATCAAAAGATAAATCCAGAATGACATGGCAAGGGGAGAGCCTGTTTCCTCTGAATGGCATGCCACCACGATTGTTCTCAAAGTGATAAATCTGTCTGAAAATCAGGTGGGTGGTCTGGTGGCTGCTTTTGTTTTTCTTTCTAGCTTTTTGTTTTGTACTCAAAAAATGATGTAAGAAAAGTGGTGAATATTGATTGTGAAACCACTCTGCCGTCTAATGGAAATAGTGTGTGAAATCACTGTGCAGCAAGACCATTTGTCTTCTTTCAGGTACTTGACACAGGGAGGTTTCCAGGCCTTGCTGGGCTGACTGAACCTTGTTAAAACCAGGATTTTTTCCATCAAATTTCAGAGGCTCAGAGTAAATTCTATCTGCCCTTGGAATTCCCAGAAGGACTTGGGGTCTCTGGGATCCCTGGGACAAAGCAGATGGCAAAGCAAATACCAGTCAGCTTATGAAGCAAAACTTCATCAGCCATTTTATCCATCTGGATGGATTCTTCCTGTGGTCCTTTGCAAAGAGTTGCCAGTTGCTCCTGCCTAGATGAGTGTATGCTTTGGAAGTGCTGGTTCCACAAGACTGGTTCCAATATTAGAGGCAGCTAAATTACTGAGAATTTAATATGCACTCAGAGATGGACTGAGCTCTCAAGAAAGTCAATACAAAAACAAAGACAGCACCATTGTGCCACATCTGAAGAAGTTCAGTCCTCAAGATAAAAATGCGATGGCCAGTCTTGTATGTCTCCCTAAGGGACAAACAATAATTTGGAATTATACTGTAGCTAGCACCACTTGGTTCACTAGGTCCAGATAGGCATCAGTTGCTCAGGTGAGTGACCAGAGCATCTAGACCCATCCCAAAAATGTCTTCGTTCTTTCCATGTACCTTTGCTATGTCATTTATTTGCCTATTAGATCAATATTACCTAAGTGACTTTACTTGTAATCCTATAGACTAATTATAGTTTGACCCACATTGTGACTTACTATATAAATTACCTCTGATAAAAGGCCCCAGTAGCCAAAAATTAAGGATCCCTCCTGGAAATCTAAGAGCTATTCTTTTTTCCTTATTTCCAATATAAACTCTCCTAATGTTTCCCTCTGGTTTGTGACTTAATTCCTCAATACGGCAGGACCACAAACTTAGCACATTTGACATCTTCGGGAGTTATA